TTGAGAACTTGAAATCTCACCTATAATGTTCTAGTTACAGTGAATATGTACAAGAAATGGACTCAAAACGAAACTGGTTGGAGAGAATTAATAAATCACACACTGTTTCCTGCACGCTTTTAAAATTGCTTTTAATATTTTCTGAAATTTGAACTTCTTGGAGCAAAGAATTCCCGCATAAACTAATAACAGTTCGGTTTGTCCAGGAATTATCTGTCTCTTGCATAATATGAAGACTCATTACCGTATGTACCGCATCAAGGCGCTGGTTAATATCTTGAGCCAGATGATTTCATTACTTGCCCTACAAATATATCTGTGGTATCCATTTTAATATTATCTCCCATTGAGCATCGGTCTTCCTAGAGGTATCTTCGGTAACTACAACTAAAACTGTGTATGCATTTCTCATTTCTGTCTACGTGCCATGTGTCTAGCCCATTTCATACTTCTTGATATGATCGCCGTAATAATATTTGGTGATAAGTACAAATTATAAAGACCGTCGTTATGCAGTTTTCTTCATTATCCTAATACTTTATTTTTCTTAGGTCCGAAATAAACTGCTCTCCTGAATTCTGTATTTTGAAGTATTCTCAGTCCGTGTTGTTCGCTTCCCGTGAAATACCAAGTTCCACACTCATCTAACATAAAACAGTAGGTGAAATTACAGCCACGTGTGTGTTAATATTTAGGTTTTTAGACATACATAGGTTGACAAGAATATTATTATATGACTATAGCTTGTCTTACTGTAAAATATCGTGCCACAAATATCTTATGCCCATAGAAACAGGACATGAAAGTAAAGTTATATGGAGATGGCTGTCTTCTGGGTTGTTGGGCTGTAGCGACGTGTAGTCGATCGCCCTGATGATGGAGGCAATAAGGACCTCTGAAACGTCGGTGAACTTCTACCAGCCTAAACGGCGTAACAATCCAGAAGACGGCCATCTTAAGACTCACAGCTGTGAAAACCTCAAATCCTATATAAAGTTACGTGCATTTTGAACAATCACACGACTACATGCTGATGAATGGTTAGGTGAAGAAAAATCCCACCCCTTCCGGGAATCAAACCCTGCGTGTGACTGGGGCGATTGAGATGGCGGTGGTAATGATAACGACAACACTTATTCACATTCTCCTTTGCTAATGGCATTTCAGTACAACTGCTCGTCTAATCCTAACTTCCCAAATTGAGCCACAGAAGCAATTCTAATGTCGAGGCCGTAACATGAACCTAATCCGCCGCATGTAACGAGGACTTTAAATGGAAGAGTATTATAATAAAAGGCAAGAGTCTCGTTTCCTTTTCATCCTATAAAACCACATCGGGACCTCTAAAACCTAAACGTAAAACCAACCACCCTCTATCCACTCACAGGGAAGTTCAGTTGGTTTCAGAAAGCCACTTACTTAACTGAATTGTCCCGCCATCTCCTTGCCCTCCCGTTCCGTTCACTCCGTACCCATTCAGCTAATGTGATGTGCTACTCTTTGCTAGAAAACCCTGTTTGGAGTTACACATGTTTCTGCCTCAAGTTGCTTGAGGATGGGCGACGGTGTCCTTGCCCCCCAACATTAAATGCTTTAGAACTGGAGGCTCGAACATTTAAGCAATATTTTACATTAACTATTAACAAAATTACTTAGATTTTAGGCGTGCTTGAATATTTAGAACAACTTTGTTAAGGAAAATATTATGATTGTTGATAGGAAAATTTGAAATTCGGTTCCATGAAATGTTGCGAAGGTAGGCCCTACTCATATGTTTCAATATTTTAATTTCGAGTAATGCCAGGAAATACATTAACGAAAAATTACGTTTCGTATATTCGAAAGTCAGTTTGGTGTTGCTCCGTCCATTATAAAATATTTATTGAACTAAAATTTGTCACAACAGAGTAGCTACTTAGGCCATGCAGTTTACTAAAGTAGCATCGCCATGTAATTATTCCTGGTCTAACTTGAAACGTGGCAAAGCCTATCTCGGGTGGAAAAGTATAGCGCTGTCTTCAGCTTCTCCTCTGAACTTCAAACGTGCAAGCTTGTAGAAATCAAAGTGCCTTCCAGAAATTCTTGTCCTTTGGTTTTGGCGGCTGGATTTCAGTTTATAACTTCGGCTTTCGTGGATGAGCCGCGTCGAATGTCGCAGAATGAAGATGGGGCGTACGATATGAAGCTTTCACGGCGAAGAAGTATAATGAATTCTTCGAGGGCTGAAGTGGTGGCAGATCCCGGGATCTCCAACCACTTCATTGCCCTGAGGACGAGGACGAAGATGATTCTCGAAACGTTGGTGTTTTCTCCATTAAATCGCCTGACACGGCTGATAGCCCGAGAAGGAATAATTTATTATAAGATTTCTGTCTTCTGGGTTGTTGCGCTGTGTAGTATGGTCGATGTTAACCAACGTTTCAGAGGTCACACAGCGCAACAACCCAGAAGACAGAAATCTTCATACTCACAGCTGTGAAAACCTCAAATCATACAATACATTATAAGATGGTGCTTGTCCGAGAAATCCAAAGTAACGCATTTCAATAGACTAGCGGCACAAAGTTAACGTCAGACATTTAGTGATAGAACGAGGCAATCTACAATGACTCGGCCAATGCTGCTGTGAACGCTGGTTGGAGGGATCATCGAACCACGACTTTACTGCAAGGTACACCGGGTTTGCCTACATCAAACAGACATACGATGTATAAATGGAAAGAAATACTAAAGTTTGATCTAAGAACAGGACTTTGGAAGTCCTGCTGTGTTTTCTGCTACGGCGAACTGCAGGCCGTTCGTCGCCGATGGCGGGCTGCTCTGCACGACACGAAATTCCCATTACTAGTTATCAGAAAGGCGCAGTCGGGTAATTAAATGGTTTCATGTTTGTTTGGAAAACCTAGCAGCAAACGCACACACGCACACACACACACGTTTGTGCTTAATTGTCAACTCCACTTAGCTATTCCCTTTCTAGATTAGAATGTGGGCTGGTTCCATATTTTAGCCTCTTACTTTTACCACTTACAAATGACCCGCAACTTGAGTTAATTTCCTCGATAAGAGGTCCGTTGAACATGCATTGTTTTGGATTCTGTATATTCTATTACATTAGGCTATTCCTTCGCATTCTTTCTCGAATGTATTTCTATCTTTAAAAAATTGCCGCGTGGTGTCTGCGTTCAAGAATGATTTCAGTGAAGGATGTTTATGGAATCCTCGAAACTGAAACTAGCTTAGGATAATGGCGACCTTTCTGTGTCAGCTGTAAAACCGCATATTTACTGTCCCAATCAGCGAACACGTCTGTGGATCTATAGCTTACGACGCTCACAATCTTTAAGACAGTTAGCAGCTTAGCTCAATCCACCACAATAGACAGTTGCTGATCCAATTCCAAGAAAGAGTAATTAACCTAGGCCTACTTTTTTTCCCCACTGGATTTGTACGATTACTTTTAAATCACACAGTTTATTTACATCCAGAATCCGAAATTTCTACAGGTTACATTTACATTCCTGTTACGTTTTGTAGTTTGCTGGCATCATATCATTATATTGACGTATTTACGAAATGAATCTAAAAAAAGGAATCTGGTTGTTTCTTAGGAAGCACATTTAACAATTTAAATAAAAAGGAAATTACAATTCTACAGTGAAAATCACTCGATCATTTTCTTATAACAACAGTAGGCCCAAATACAAAGAATCTCTACTCGTGCTCTGTTTTCTGAGGATACCTGCCATATTAAATTTGTACACTTCTTATGGTAAGAAATTTTAGACAATTTTGCAGGTTGGGTTGTAATGCCGTGCTGACTTTCAGGCAAATACCAACGCTTCGGAGGAACATCCTGCCTCTATCTTCAGGACTTCAGCACTATTTCATCGTAAAGTTGGTGTCTGCCTAAGAGTCTACGCGGAACAACCCAGAAGGCAAACATCGGCTTCTTCACCGCCGCGAGAAAATTCAGTTTTATTTCGGAGATCGTGAAGCTGTTGTGTCTAGTACGATATAGACTTAACCATAACGCCTATTTATTTCAGGCTGATTGCTTTGATGTCTTACATTCTTTATAATCGACTGTATTTTTAAGTTATTTGACTCTGTTAAAACTTCTTCCACACAGTGATCAGTTCAAGTTCTGACGCCCTGTCAGCGTCTATTATTTGTTCTTCTTACAGCAGAAGCAAAAATTTCAGGCGCTCGTAATATTCTGTCTATGAAGCTTGGAAGAATGCTAAGTGCTTTTAGAAGAGTAATTGCACAATGGCGGATGTTGCTTGCCGGCTGCGAATCATAGCTTGCTAATGCTACAAGGACATTTCTCTAATTACAATTCTGCTGGCTGTCATTTTCTGAGAGACTATGTGAGAACTTGTTCAGAAACATTTGTTTCAAGTTCTTTGACTTGACCTTTAAGAACCCTAAGGACAGTTTTGTGCATTAAATGCACAATTTTAATTTGGGGAATATGTCCGTCCGTCTTATCTCCGAATCAACTCAACGGATTTCGATTAAATTTAGCTAGTGTATTATACATCAGAAGTTGTAAGGAAAATACAGTATTGATGGGCACCTGTCCTATATAATCCCTGTTTTGTATCCGTTTCAACTCTTTATCAACTTTTCTCCGAACCAGCTGATTGTACTGTCTGTAGTAAGTCCTTAGAGGAATGTAAATTAGCGAACAAAGCATTTATAAAAAAACGTGTATTCTATTACATTGTATAATTATAGGCTAATAAGTAAAGGAATTAGACTGCCATCTTCCTGCACAGAAACCTACCTGTAACTCCAAGGAATTTTTACAAACGTTGGATTGCAGCAGTGCCATGTACAGTCCTCGTAGAGCCATGTAATTCTCCCGTTCTTCTGACTATGCAAGTAGCTTAAGGTTCATTGCTTTGTTAAGGACGTACTAAAATTTTCATGTTTGTGTCCAGTCGCGTTATCCAATAACAAGCCTACTGATCATACAGAAAGCTTGAACTTACCTCCATTTTGTACGTCGGTTTTGAAACCAAGTTTTGACTTGAGCGTCGGTCATCTTGAGCGTCTTGGCGAGAGACGCGCGCTCTGCTGACGCCAGGTATTTCTGTTTGTGGAATCGCTTCTCCAACTCTGCGATTTGCAGGCGTGTGAAGGAGGTCCTCGGCTTCTTACGCTTCGGCGGAGTTCTGTTCTGGTACGGGTGTCCGATGCGCCTCGTAATAGGAAACGTGGCTGTGAAAGGCAAGAAGCAGCAGACTTAATTCATCTCAAGACACAGCTACGTGAAAGTATACATGAGATACTTGCGGGACAAAATGAAGCTGAAGAACATTAGCACATCACATGGCGTAGGTGTATTTTTACCATAAAGTAACATCCGCCATTTTTATAACCTTTGTAGCTTCGTGCAAAACACTTCGTAGTTTAGAGACTGTTCACGAATGTAGAATATCTATTGCTGCAGCAACAGATTTGAATGAAAATATTTTTTATTAATGGACTATTAATACTTAAGAGCTGCCTGTCAGTATTACATGACGATTGATTCTTTGCTACTCTTTTTCATTCATAAACCATTAACCATGTCTGCCGAAGTTGTGTAGCCTGATCTGCTTGCAGCTGTGTTAACTTAAATAAATAATATAATAATATCATCCCCGCCACGTCTAACCTTTCAAAATGGTCTGCTCCCTTCAGAAATTTCGACTAAAATATATTCATTTATCATCTACGCGACTACGTGCAATATTGCAGCTGTGTGGGAAATACTTATATTTTGTACAGAGCATTATGTCAGTGCTGAGATATTCTAAGTACTCATAAAATTTCATCGTCTGCAAACTTTTAATATAAGGTAGTGTACCTATACATATTCTCTAGTCTTGAATCTTTCGTTTAAGGCTTCAGTGTTCGCAACCTTTCTACACTCGCGGGACACTAAATATTGTCGAAGAGTCGTGGCGGAACACCAACCACATTTGCATATCGTTGGAGGGAGTTAGATGGTTTATGGCATTGATTGGCCGCGACAACTTCTTATAAATCGATCCCAATCGAAAAATGTTCAATTCGAAGTTTATAATTTTCCATCTTTATTATTATGATATTTATTTTAAATATATTAATGATTTCAAATAGATTATAATATAATATTTGCTACCGTTTCAGCCAAAATTTATTAACTATGTGTAAACATTTAAGCTTAAAGATACTCTTTTATATTTGTACATGTAGATTGCAGAAAAATACATAGAGTGGAAATAAAAGTAAATGGGAGGTGCACATGTTTTGCTGCAAAGTGGTTGTGTTGTTTTCCGATTCCATTTAGTACATCTTGCCTGTCCTCTGTCCGCCCGATCATAATAAAGAAAATGAAAACTGAGACAGAACAGAATAAATGATTAACAATTATTTATCTCATTATGGTTATAATTATAATATGAGGTGAAAATTACGTGGCACACCCAGATGGCCTCCGCGGCACACCGGTTGTGCATCAATGGTTTAAGGCTACAGATAATTCTTCAAGAGGAAACGTTGTTATGTTGATATCCTGCAAGAACGAAACCACAAGTTTTTAAACTTATCCCTGGCGCTTATTTAAGCCCCACACACTCAGGCGTATGGGGAATGGAGTTACCGCTCCTCGTGTTCTTAACCTTGGCATTGCATGAAGGTCAGTGCTTCTACACTGCGCTGATACGACCATGGATGTCCTGTCCAGAAAGTGAGCTGACGCTCGGTCACAGACCGGACACGAAATCGGGAATATATAAATTGACTCTCAAGAGAACGACGCTGACCATAGAGAGGCAGCTTGTGCCATGGTAAGAAATGGTGACGCTATTGAGGCACATGGCGTAGAACAGTGCATCAGGAATAAAGGCTATCCACTTCTGCCACTCCCTCTGTGTGATGGCAACAGCCTCAGTATCTCCCTCGTGATTGGTTCTTGATGATTGCTCTAATGGGCAACTGACGTGCAAACATCCGATGTGGAAAGAAAGAATCTACTTCAACGGTTGCCTGGCAACGTAATGACTTCTCCCCTCCTTTACGCCCCACTCCCCTCCATCGATGCCATAAATAATGATATCTTTCCCTTCTCCGATTCCTCATCCCTATAGACCAAAAAGATGCAAATAGAAGCACAAGACATTACTTGCTAATAGGATTTTGTCATGGAAGGAGTCTGAGGCCTTTATTCTAAAAAGAAAATTAAAGCAGTAACAAGAAATTCAAAACTGGGCTGAAGTAAAACAGAACACAACGTTTGTGCCATCGAACATCGCCGTCAAGTGGTTAGTATTCCCGCTTTGTATTCGGGAGGCCCAGGTTCTAAATGCGATCGAAATAGAGACCAATGTCAGATTATGGAAAACGTGGTAGCAATCTTCACCCTGAAGATGGTTGCTATACATTTATCCGAATGGCCCATAACCGTCTTCAAGACCACGCGGAGTCACAATCCAGCAGACTACAATTGACAATTATGAAATTTCGGATTCCATGAACGTAACTTGACTTGCGACTATCAGCTTCTCAAGAACCACTACGCGCAGTTGGTTATGTTCGGTCCAAATATTGTCTTTAACAATGTTATAAACACATGGACTTGTTTCTTCTCTGAGGCGTGTGACTGTTGGTAGGCCTTTCTTATTGTGTCAACTGATTGGCCTTTCCTTTTCAAAATCTCGATATGATTCGATTCACAAACATAATAATGCAGATAATATGACAAAATATTAGACTCGCATGAACTTCAGACAGAATCTGTCACAAAGACACTTGCTTTAGTCCTCCTATTGCGATGGAATCTCTGTGTTCTCTGACGTCGGGAAAGTAAATAATGCAACAAAAATTTCCATCGATTCAACAGGAGCTTTAATTCGAGATAAAACAGAAAGGGGAACGATTAAATTAGATCCTGAAATATTAATCTCCTGACTGTACATGCATCAGTTGCATTTTAGTTAATCTTTTTTCAAGTCCGCTGAGAAAGCTAATTCGCGTTGCTGCCTTCATTTGTTTCATTTCGTTTTTTTAATTTAATGTTTAGGGGCTGAGTCGAGGAGAAGAGCGGGGCTGAAGATACGAGAACATCGAAACGAGACGCATAAATTAATAAAGAAACAAATGAAAAACGTCATAAATTTCATAAAACGCCAAGGAAGTGAATGGCCGATAATATTCAGAAACACGCAGTGGAAAAGCAGAAGACGACGTAAGATTTCAGGTTCTTACGGTGGCGAATATGAGGATGGCTGTCTTCTGGAATGTTGCACCGTATAATCTGGTAGAACTAGATCGATATTTCAGAGGTACTTGAGAGTCGCAGTAAGCACCACTGAACTGTCGGCTAAGTTCCATCAGACTGCGTGATGCAACATTTCAGAAGACAATTATCTTCATAGACTACGACGTTTTAATGTTACAATAATTTGATATGTGCCAAATGCGCCCTTGTGGGTGGCATTACAAAGGTGAATTTCGGTTGCTTATGACATTTGTTTGCTGTTTTGTAAAAGGCCGGCCTATGCAGTGAGTTGTAAGTCGAGCTGATATACAGCGTAGCCATGTGTCATACTGATGGCAGGCTGTCGATTGCGAGACTTAGATATGCCTAGTGGCCTATATTGCTAGTTAACACTTATTGTTTGTTCCTGGTTGACATTTTTAGAGGCCTGCCTATTGTAATTTTGTGTACGCTTACATGATCATAACAGCTGTGTTCAGAAACACGAATTAAAATGCAATGCATGATGTTTCAGACTTTCTTTTATAAGCTCAATTCAAAATTCTGTTTTCAGATACCAGAGCTTCCATAAATTTATGAAATGTTTAATGTTTTCTGTCCTGGTCATAGGCCTGTTTGATAACGAGGTAATGGTTGAAACTTACACAATTGGTCTTGTACTATGCATCGCAACCCAGTTCACTGAATTGTTGCTAACTATTTTGTGTTAGCATTAATTATTCCTATCTTTCATGCTATCATTTTATGGTATCTGTTCTTAAATTATGTTACGTTTTATGAAGAATTTTTATTTATTAATTAGGTTTATTCTGTGTTTATTTCCTGTGTAGCGTACTCATAACCTTTGTTAGTCCATTGCCCGTCCGTGTTTACAGACATTCCGTAGTTATTCAGAATAAAGCATAGTTCTTACATCTGTCTTGTTGGCCAGCCCTTTAGTCGTCGCGTGATGGGTGACTGTGCGTGTCAGCGAAAGAAAGTCCTCCAGTTTATGTAGAAACAAGAATCAAGTTAAGTCCGTATCGTGACAATCACATTTTGTTTCTCGGTCAGTCAATCACAGCTCAGCCACGGGATACAAATTCGAGGAAGTCAGGAACTAATTCAGTAGCTTCAAGCGAATGTGGAGCTTAAGGGTTGGTGCCGGGTTACTCACAGACTTTAGAACAGGCGTAATGTCGTAATGTAAGCGCCTTCTAAAGACGACCCATACTTTTATTACAGTATCTAAACTGACCTCTTTGTGTTGATAACTAACTTCAGCAGCAGAATGTTACCTGCGTAGCTAATTGTCGGTTGTATGGTCAAGAGAACTCAAAGGGTCATTAGGGAACTTTAAAGAATGACGACATTAAAAAGGGAGTTAATTTTATATTGGTTAGAAAAATAAGTGTTTGAGACAAATGTGATGAACATTTGGAAATAATGGATGATTAAAGGGTACTATACTGTTATAAAATAAAGGCTTATTCCGAATGGACGTCATATCTGCAAATTAATTCCTATAGTGTGATACGAAGTCTTACATACAAAACAAAATTAGTTCCAAAAGGAAGCCTTTGCTACAACCACCAAATGGAAAGATCCTGGTTTCTGCTAGCAATCAGAAAAAAAGCACGAATCTATACAGCAGGCGTTCTAGAATAAGCAATTTACTGCTCTTATTTCTGTCAGACAACACAAATTTCGTATAGTTGCAAGCAAAAGCGAATAAAACTGTAAAATGCGTCCGCTCTAAAGCCGTAACTCGTCTAAATACTATTAAGAATTCAATTTCTGCCGCAAAGAAATACATTTAATCATTAAAAATATCAATTTGGTTGATGGTGTTTATGGAAATAATCGCTCTTTTCTGCGAATTAGAAGGAAACCCATGAATACACTGTGTGGGAAAATGCAGTATTATTGAAAGCTAGAGCAGGTGGTACATATAGCTACCACTGAGTTTGAAGGGTTAACACTTGTTCATTTATTA